ACCTGTAGGTTACTGCGAAGATCCGACAGAAAAGTGACAGGAGATCGAGTTTTAAGATATGAATCCAAATCCTTTTTGAACTGAGGTGGCATCACTCCAGTGAAATTGGTGAGGATTCGAGGTGCAATGTTAATTTCACTCAACATGTCCACCTGTTAAATATCAAGAATCAGAATCAAGCACAGAAGTTAACAAATCATACTGAAGACAGAAGTGTTTGGACAGCTTTCTAAAACTAGACACACGCACATGCAGACTGTGACTATTACATGTTAGACATTTCTCATTATTAGGAAAGAAATTAAAGAATATTTCTGTGGGCTGGGCGGTGGTGGCGCACGCCTTTAATCCCAGCACTCGGGAGGCAGAGCCAGGTGGATCTCTGTGAGTTCGAGGCCAGCCTGGGCTACCAAGTGAGTCCCAGGAAAGGCGCAAAGCTACACAGAGAAACCCTGTCTCAAAAAAAAAAACAAAAAAACAAAAAAACAAAAAAACCAAAAACAAACAAACAAACAAAAGAATATTTCTGTGAAGGTCTAATTTGTACTATTAATCAATTTCTTCCAAACTAAGATTTCCAATCAGTACAGAAGGAGACTCCACAACTCACCACCAAGAATTCCAGCCACCAAAAGAAGCCCCAGCCAATTAAGAGAATGTTATATGCTTTTTAAGATGTACTTGAAAGGGGCTTAAAAAAGAGCTGAGAGCAAATTAAGACTAATATTTTTAGATATAAAGCAAAGGACAATCAAACCGCAACAGATCCAGGGAGGCTACCTAGCAGGGGGGAATCTAGATTGGGTTTGCCCAATCACTGGGCAAGCTTTAGTGAAACATTTCACTATTAGGATAAGAATTTGTACTGTATCAAGCTGATGAAAGAATATGCTGGCTGTACTTTCAGGAGGAGAGGCTAAAACCTTTTTAGATTATGGATTAGCCTACAGAAAAATGTCTGCCATAAATCAAACAACACAACTTAAGTAAAACATAGCTCTCTGAACAGATGAAGATAGGTTTCTTCTGTATCCCAGAATCTAATCAATATTTATATGTATAATTCAGCTATTATTTGGCTTAAAAGGGCTTATTGGAAAATGTTATCATTTTTACTATTTTCTACAGAGAAAATATTTTCCAGTTTCAAATAACCATGGACTCTTGAATAATAACCTGCTCAAGCTATCTGTATATTATTTCTCCTTCAGTTATACATAAAATGTTTTTACATGTAAAAAAAAATGACAAATATTATAGAATTGTATTACATAAAATATATAGAATATACAAATTCATAGAGACAGAAAGATTAGATGTTATCTGAAGATGGAAAAGAAAGGAAAATAGAGCAATGATTTCCTAAGTACAGAATTTCTGTTTTATGTGATGGAAAAGCCCTACAAATGGACAGTAGTATCAGGATATAATATCATGAATGTAATAAATCAATACAATTAATGTAATTAATGTAATTAATATCATAATATAGTTATTGCATGAATACTGCAGATGTAACTCAATGAATACCACAAATGTAATGAATATCATGAATGTAATTAGTGAATGAGTATCATTAATATCTTGAATTCATGCCACTGAATTATGAACTTAAAAATGGTTACAATTGAAAAAAAAAGCTAGTATTTATGTTAATGGTGGTACGATTTTTAAGTGGTCTCTTTCCTTAAAACAACTTAAACACATGCACATTGAAACTTGTAAACTATAGATACTGCAAAGACTATAGTTTGTTCTTCAATTATGCAGCAAGGGACCAGCAATTGCCCAACATTTAGTCTGGGGTCCAATAATTATACCTCAATTTAATATCAAAATTATGAGAGACAGTAAGCAGAAAAATAGTATGAACCAATATTCAGGGATAATATCATATCCATCAAGACTAGTAACAATTAGCTACCCTAACAGAACCATAACCTAAAGCACACATGTGTTGGAGAAGGGGCCATTAAATACAGTGATTTTAAACAGGCTGATCAGAGAAAGGGCTGAAATATTAAAAAACAAAAACAAAAAAACAAAAGTCTTCCTTTAGGAGCTGCAAAGATAGCCCAGTGGTTAAGAGCACTGCTTTTCTTGCAGAGGACCTAATTTCATTTCTCATTACCTACATGGCAGCTCACAATCTCTGATTCTACTTCAAGGGGTCCACTACCTTATTCCAGCCTCTACACATGGTACACATAAACTCACACACACATACATAGATTAGAAAATTGAAAAGAAAAAAAAAAGCAAACCATGTTAAAACTTTACCTTCAGATTAGGAGTGAATGGGTCTGGGAGCCTCATATTTCTTGGGAAGGCACTCAGGATCAAATTTCTTAACTGGATACAATTAGGAGGGATCACATCACAGAACCCATAATGGTAATCACAAAGGAACTCTGGGAAATCATGCAAAAGAACTAGCAGCACTCTTAGAGTACCCT